AATTTAAGATATCTATCCATATATTTTTTATTTATAATATAAAAAGTTGAGTTACAATCTATTATGTTGACAATGTCTCTATAAAATTAATCGTACACTTTGCCACATTAGTGTATTTGCATGTGTCAATCCTTATTCATCTCCTCACATTTTTCATGTAACTATCATTTGTTATTATCACAATTAATATAATATTTAGTGATTATGTCTCTAATCAATATTTGATCACTTTCTTAGACCAAAATAAAGTTTTTGTACTATGAAATCTCATAATGACACCTTATTCCTATTCCATAATCACCTTTGTGAGTCTATATATCTAACTTTTTTTATTTTTGTGTATAACTTTCTTTCTATGTCTATTTCTTTGTCTCTTTCCTTCTACTATTTTATTTGCATAAGAGGAAGATAATTTATTGAAGAAGTCATAGAAATTGTCATGGAAGGATTTTTCTTCTCAAAATAAATTATATATTTAATATACTTTTTAATTAAATAAAATTTAAAATTTTCACTTATTTACCCGCACAATGCGTGGTACATATCTAGTCGTAAATATTATCTAAACTCTTTTACTAATATGCGGACCCTAGTGGTCCAGTTTGCGAATTCTACAACATATCACAGTGGTTCCTTGTTTGATAAAAAATATCTTCCTTTCTCAACATAATCATATCATGTCATTCATTATTCAACAAGAATACTAATTCAAGAAAAAATGAATTAGGGAAACTGAAAGGTAGAAGAATTAGAAACAAAACATGGTAACATTAATCAGGAAGTGGTTGAGAGCTAGCTTTTAGTTTGGACTCCACATACTAAAGAATAAGCAAAAAGTAAGGATTGATTTAGTCGTTTACATTTGTTGGAAAGTAATAGTTTGCTTTCTGTGTCTGAGCAGTTAACAAGCACAAATTGCTCTTCTTTACGTCAACGCGATCAACACACGAATCGTGTGTTACGACCCCTGAGAAAAATTTTCAGAAACCAAAGACGTGTGAGTGAGCAACAAAAGATTCCAACCATAGTTAAACTTTCCCCACATTCTGTATCATGACAGTTCCATGGAATGCTAGAACTGAACTTTTTCTTTGCACTTACTCTACATATATGAGATCTCATCGAAGACTGTGTTCGTGAAATATTTTTGTTTCCACAAGTTGTCTTGTTTTCAGGACAAGTTTGACCATGACAGACATATTTGAGACCCAACCATCTCCTGATTCTTCAAATTATGCATCAAGCAGTGGCCTCTCTGGGGATGATAAGGAAATTGGGTATAGAACTGCAACATCAAAGCATTTATATCTTTTGGCCAACAACTCTGCTCTTCACATCTTACCCGTCAAAATTGACCTGAATTTTGCTCGCATGGTAAGAGTATATGCAACCTTTCTAAGTGTATTTAGAGTGCCACCCTCCCTTGGAAGAATATTTTAACCAAGCTAGCAATGTCTAATATATTGTTCAGTCAGGTTTCCCAATAGAAATTAATAATAACAAAGTCAATGAATATTTTATATCTGTAACATTGATAACAAAGAAATCTACAATCCAGACATTTATGAATAACAAACATGTAAGTGAATAACAGTGATGGTTTTAGAAATGTAACTTTGAGCCTAACACATACCTATAGAACTGGTTTGTAATGTTATATATATTATTTTAGTTTTATCACTTGATGTTAGATCTCTAACATCCTTCATGTTGAGGACTAAGTATATGCAGATGAACCAATAGGCCAATAATAATCATAAGATAACTACTATCATTTTAGAAAGTAAATTTGATCTTAACTCATCTACATAAAATCAACTTATAAATTAATAATTATTTTCAGTTATATACTTTATTTTAATCCTATCATTAGTCGATGTAAAATGAATTATGGAATGTGAACTTGTGAGTTAACAATTTGGACCACTACTATTGAGAAAAGGGTAAGTAACAATTATTATGAATATGTTAAGTAAAATCCTGTGGAAGCCATATAGAATTTAAACATGATCAGAGCAGAAACCAAATATTTTGCCTATTATTTTCCCTTTAAATAAAGATTACAAGTAATTTTGATATGTAGGTGATGGCAGAGGTGGTGGGTACTTTTATTTTGATGTTCTGTGTATGTGGAATCACTGCAAGCACACAATTCCAAAATGGTGCAGTGGGCCTTCTGGAGTATGCAGCTACAGCAGGATTAACAGTGGTGGTGATAATTTTCTGTATAGGGCCAATATCTTGTGCGCACGTTAACCCAGCTGTCACAATAGCCTTTGCAACAATTGGTCAATTTCCATGGTTCAAGGTGCTAATAATAGAACAAGAGCATAGCATAGCATACATAGCCCTTGTTAAAATTCCAGTAGTATAATTGATTAGTTTATGACTACTTATTTCTTCAACAGGTTCCAGTTTACATAATAGCACAGACAGTAGGTTCTATGTCGGCAACATACATAGGTAGCCTTGTATACGGCATAAAATCAGATGCTATGATGACCATGCCACTCCAAGGGTGCAACTCTGCCTTCTGGGTGGAGGTTATTGCAACTTTCATCATCATGTTCCTCATTGCAGCTTTGACATCTGAATCTCAATCAGTAAGGGCTAAGCAACAAAATTACATGTTTGAGTTGCTTTGAAAATGAAACTAGCTAATCAAAACTTGACGCACTGTGCAGGTGGGCCATTTATCTGGCTTTGTTGCTGGAATTGCAATTGGGCTTGGTGTACTAATCACAGGGTACCTACCCACTAACTCTAAACTTTTGCAAAATGCTTAGTAAAATTAGTTTGTAACTTTTTGTTTGGTTCAACTTATTTTAGATATTGCTAATTTAGCAGAATTAAGATGAACGTCTGATTACACAAGCAAACAAAGGCTGTGAAATGATTAAAATGTGACACTGATTGGAAAAAAGCAAATGACAGAAAAACTGTTCAAATGATTTGGACATTTACAAATAATGCCATTGGAAGCACCAATTAAGAGAGCAGACAGCATGCGTCTCGCTATCTGAAAAAAAGGAGAGAAAGACCAAGAAGGACATTGGATTAAATTGTTAAAAAAATTTCATGGTGAATAATATCTAAAAGAATAAATAATAAAAATATATATATATATATATATATATTCTTTAACAGAGTCTATAACGTAATCCATATATGTAGCCGACTTCACCAAGCAAAAAAATTATAACATGATCTGAGATCACCACATATTCAGTCTTAAATAATCTTTATACCACAAGTTAATAATCAAAATTATCAATTAATGAAAAAGAATTAACAAAATTTGATTACATGTTATTACGTAAAATTTGATCTTGAATCACGCACTAATTTTTCCATCAAATGAGATAAGGCTTTTGTTGTAGTTATTGGTCTAGACATTAGAGAAGTAACTATTTTTTTTTGCCAATGGGAAAGTTTTTGAAAATGAAGATAAATACTTTTCTGATATAAGTGTCATCAAACATGTTGTTAGTCTTTTTTTTTTCTTTCCTTATATCAAAATCATTTGTTTAATTTTTGTTGCAGCCCTTTCTCAGGTGGATCAATGAATCCTGCAAGATCATTAGGTCCAGCAATTCTCTCATGGAAATTTAAGGACATATGGATATACATGCTAGCCCCGAGTGGTGGAGCTGTAGCAGGAGCTGCAACGTTTCGTTTCCTGCGCCTTCGTGACCAACATTCTAGTACTTTGTCCTCTCCAAACATCAATGATGTTGGTCGTCCCATACCCTTTTGCTCAAGTTAGTGCACCAATATCAAATACTGTGATTTTAGACCAAATTAAAGAAACTGCAGAATCAATAGTAATCATTGCCTATTAGATACCTTTAGCAGTTGAATTCTTGGTTGTTCCTTTTTTTCACTAGGGAAAAGTGGGCCCATGATTTTGCTGGGAGAGAAAAATTGGAGTTTGTTCTCAAAGAGTAGAAGAGTTCAGACAAAGATTTGTGTTAAGAACAAAAGGAATATCAGATGATGTTTATCGTAAGTTACCACTGTAATTAATTACAGTAAACTTATTTAAAAATGTGTGGTAACAAAAATATGACAGAAACGTCATGCAGAAACTCATAAATATAAATGACATCATAACGTGAGGAATTGGAAGGCAGGAATCATATCATATCAATCCATATTTGTTGAAAGGAAAATTTGTTTTGAGGACTAATTTTGATTCGATTGAGTTCGTATAAAATGTTTTTATTGTTTGATTTTAAAAGATAAAACGAAAATTTAGAATCAAATCATGAGTTTGAGATAATTAACAATGTTTTTCGTTGATGACTTAACATTTTAATTTGCGAACAATATAAATAACCGATTTCAAAATGATTATCAAACAATCAACTGCAACAACCAATGATCTGCAAAGAATCTATCGAATTGCAAAAAAAATAACTTGATAAATGAACTTGAAAAGTGTTCTCGAGAAGTCCTTCGAGATCACCCTCATCCACTAACACAACACCAAAAATGCTTTTTTGTGGCAATTTTTATGTTATTTAGCGACCATACAAATGATTATTAATATCTTTACCGGCAATTAGATTATGGCCGTTGTATGTAGGATCGGTAAAATTATTAATGACATTTAAAGTGAGTGCTGGTAAAGACCTTTTAAATGGTCGGGAAAAATAAAAATTTTTAATGACAATTCTAGTGACAATTTTAATGGCCACTAAAAGTAATTTCATTGAATAATAGATTTTCATATATGTAAAAAAAATTGTATAGAAATACAATTGAATCTCATTAGATAAAATAATTTATTTTGATAGCATATTAATACTCAATTAGTTAAATTCAATTAAATAAAATTATTTTTAGTCCATGCATTGAAATTGATGAGGGAATCAAATTCAATTTTTCATCCATTGAATTTTTTTTAAAAAAAAAAAACTACTTTCTTTACTAATATTCTCATCCACCATTTCTCATAAAAATAATGAGAATAATAATTTTTTTATGAGTACTCCATATTTGCAATAACACCAAATACCCATTTATTAGAGTAATGCAAAATTTATGAGTTTATCATGTCCTTGAGATACCAAGGAAACCATTGAAAAGACAAAATGAATAGTCAATGATGTCATGATCCAAAGAAATTACAACAAAGGTCTCTTATGATTTAGAGCTATTTGCTAAAATGTCTAAAAGGTCTTCATCAATTGTAATTGAATCCTGCAAAGCACAAAATAAACAAATGTCCTCCTTCAATGCAGGTTCATCAATTTCCTGTTAACAATATAACATTTAATGTACTATCAAATCAAATGCAATATTACAACAAAAGAATAACATGTGCATAAGAAATGGATTAGGCTCAATACCACGTTATACTTTAAAAGAGAAAATGAATTTGCTGAAATGGAGTATATGAACATAATTGTAATTACTTCAAACAAACATTATGGCGTATCTGATGGCTCTAGCTAACCCTTTCTTTGACAACCAAAAAGTTCCTAAATTCAATCTAGAAAAAGGTGGGGTGCATAGTGGCCATATTCAACGTGGACTTACAAGCCAAATTTTCAAAATAAAACACTGGGGAAACCTGTTGTGTTTGACATGGACATGAGTGCAGGGGATTTTCTAGCTCTATTTTACCTTCTAAAAGTGCCGGTTCAAGTAATCGACCTTAAGGTATTTGATTTTTTTCATTTTTTTTTATTATTTCTTTAAATTTAATTGTTCTACATTAAACCAAATATTGATCAGTATCATAAAGTAAAACAAACTAATTCTACCACGCACGTCTTAAATTTAAAAGAAAAACTGTGAAATGAAATTAAGTAATACAATGTCTAATAAATAATTACCATTCATGGATAAATTGGCAATTGCCTTTGCTGCTAGTATGCGAACAACTTCATCATTATCTTTTCTAGTAAGCTTGAGCAAGGAAGTGAGGTCATCATCTTGAACCATATTGTTTTTGTTAACCTCTACATATTATAATAAATCAAATTACTATAGCAATTGGAATTTTAGTTGATTGTGATTCTACAAATCCAAACAAAAAGGTTGAGAAATTACAAAAGTAACTTAAACCTCTTTAAGAAAAAATAGCATGTGTAAAACAATAAGACATAGGCCAAACCTGTTTTCACAGTTACAGTGGATTTTGTAGGTAATTGTGATTCTACAAATCCAAAAAGAAAAATATATAAGCTATAGAATAGAAAAAAATTCAACCAGGATATCATATGCTGTCATACAAAAAAAAGACTAAAACAAGCTACATGATAAATAGATATTATTAAATAAATAAACACAAATGATTAGTACTAGAGACCTAATTAAGACAAGACATTTAGACAAGGGCATTGAATTGTTTCTCAATGTTCTTGAGAAAAGGCATAGTCTAAAAAGTTCTCTACTCCATCCAAATATTCTTTACTAACTCTATCACACTCCATCCACCTTTTACTATGAGGGTTATCCATGACTATTCAAAAATTCTGCATTTATATGAGTATTGTGATAATTGAAGCTTTGTATGTAAAAAGAAAAGGCAAGGCATGTGCTAAAGTATAAATGAAAACATTGAAAATAAGTAGCAATTTCTTTTGTTACTTTTTTTTCAATGTTTGTATGTCTATATATAAGTAGCTTATTTATTATTTCACTACCTATCATATATCAATAGTGTTCATGCATTCACACTCGTCAGATCCTAACAATACATTGTTTAACATGAATTCAAAAAGTCATTAATGATATTCAATAAAGGAGACAGAAAGATAGTTGTTAAATGTAATGCACAAATATGGAAATAACCGAATAGCTGTGGGGCTCAAGGTTTTATAGGAATTTAACCTGTCAGAATACCAGAAATGACATCAAAAGTAAAAGTCTTTGAAACATCTAGTGGCTCCCTACAGGAAGGTGATGGCCAAAGATCAGGATATCCAGTACCCCTACAAAAAAATATATATTAATAAAAGTAATTGATTAATACTTGAATAAAAGAATTTAAATGTAATGCTTAACATCTATGTAATAATCAGACTTTTTGAATTTTTACATGCTCTTTAATCTTAAAATGAGATAACATACTCAGAAAATTTAATATTAAAAAAAAAAAGAGAGAGACAAATCTATAAAGGTTGAAATCTACCTCCTTTAGTATATTAAATACTAAACATTGTTTTTGAGACTAATATGATGAACTCGTCAGACTGAAATTTTAAGAGATGATAAAAGTTTACAGAAAAAGTAAAATTTTAAGCAACCAAATATAACAATATTTGATGAACAATATTTAACATAATTATATCCTTTATACATAGTTAAATGAAACAAAAAGCACGCATCATGGACCATCTCAGGTTGAAGAAGGGGAGAGTCCAAAGACATATTTGATTGTCATCTACTGAATTTCTGGTTCAGTGACATGTAGGAAAGTACCGAGAGTTATTCATATTTGTGGCGGATTTTGGCTTGCCACTATAATCCATGATCTGCCATTGATAACACTCAACTGACTTGAGTGGACTAAATCAAAGCACATGCCTCAATCAAATTTTTAAACATTTTTTAAAATGATAACCACTCAATTGCAAAAAAAAAATCCTGACTTTTTGAAGTAAAAATGGAAAGGAATTTTTGAATAAAAATTTGAGCAATTTTTTCATTGAAAATAAATTTGTGCTTCAAAGAAAAATAAACACCTTTTGGAAGTAGCTTGAGCTTTTCCCTTTCAAAATATGTTTCCTAAATACCTTTGGGGATAAACCCTTCCTAAGTTACAGACTTGGACAAAATCTTGACAAAAGGCCTGACATTCTTTAATAAAAATTTCACAACTATATAGGTGCAAATCAATATAAATGAGTAAATGACCCAAAAGAGCTACCTGCAGAGCTTAGGTGCTTATTATTTGGCATCATAGTTGGTTGTGGATGTCACAAAAAGGGCTACCTACAGATGAGTTGACCAAAAAGACTAAGTAAAACATCTTAGAGAGTATCATCTGCTCCTTGGTCTTTAGAAGGTTTAGAAGAAGAAGAAGTCAGAAGTGAATAGTATGATTTGAAATCAAGCCTTAGCCTCTTATTTATAGGCATCAAAGGTGGCCGGAACGGTCCGTTCTGAACCAGAACGACCCGTTTTGGACTCATCCGTTATATGCAAAATTTACAACTACAACGACCCATTCTCAAAAAACAAATGTCTCAAATATCATAAGATAGAAGATTCACATTCATAACTCATAAATCATAACTCCAATGTAGAAATTACAAAAGAAAAGAAAACTAAAGTTTTCAAAACAATTTAATGGAAATAACATCCTAAACTAAGCCTAACTATGCCCTGATGTCACATATCCTATCAGAGCATGCCCAACTGAAGCCTTAAGTCTAATCACCAACATCCTCATGATGATGATCACCTGCAACATAATTTAAACATATACAAGAACAACAAGGGAGTGAGAAACATCTCACTCTAATTCAGATATAGCAATAAATGTTAGGCAACGCACACACAGTCATAACAAATACCACACAAGTTACACATAACCAATCATAACTATCAAGTTATAAATACATTAGAATACATATACATTCACTTATCATGCAATAATGTCATGGACTCAACTCATAAGTGCATGCATGTGGCGCTATACAGAAGTTTACATTTCTCATCACTGGTATGCTGCACAGCAACATACCTGGGCACGTTCATTCATGAATACATCACTGGTCAGTGGTGACCAAAGGTACTCCTAAAATATCTCAATACATCACTGGTATGCGGCCTAAGCAGCACACTTGGAATAAGTCATTTCATCACATAACTTGTTACATCACTGGTATGCGGCCTAAGCGGCACACCTGGAATAAATTATTTCATCACATCATTTCATCACTGGTGAAGGTACACCTGGAATACATCATTTCATCACTAGTATGCGGCCTAAGCGGCACCCCTGGAGTTATATATGTATATGATGCATGTCATACATTCACTATTTCATTGACTCAACATTTCACTTATCACGAAATTTCATTTATTGCCTCATGTCGTCATTTTTCATATTCTCATAGTCATAGCTTATCTCAATAGTTCATTCTCATGTCTCATGTCATTTGTTCATATTTCACATAGTCATGTCATAATTATTCCTTATAAGGTCCGCACAAGAATTCACAGAGCACTCTTATTCATATTAAAACTTATTTATTTTCAAAATTAATTACATATTCATTCATCACTTCCAACAAGGAACACAGTAGAGCAATCAGAAAGTAAAACAAAAACATTAATGCTTTGCATGTTCCTAGAAGCATGCATCAGGCAAGTGATTGGGGGTCAATCTGACTACCCAACAATTATTCCCACACCCCCGAGCGAGGTTACTCACTCTCCCCTTACCTCGATAAGCAAGAGCTGAAACTAGAGTAGAACCTTGCTAATCTCCTCTTCTAAATTCTCCTTGGTCTTTAGAAGGTTTAGAAGAAGAAGAAGTCAGAAGTGAATAGTATGATTTGAAATCAAGCCTTAGCCTCTTATTTATAGGCATCAAAGGTGGCCGGAACGGTCCGTTCTGAACCAGAACGACCCGTTTTGGACTCATCCGTTATATGCAAAATTTACAACTACAACGACCCATTCTCAAAATCAGAACGGCCCGTTCTAGGGTTGATTTTAACACACATTGATCATAATTGGAACGACCCGTTTCTAAAGAAGTGAGGTAAAAGATGAAAAATGCCTTATGCACTGTGAAGAATTTTTTAAAAAAGAAGTTTAAATAAAAATTAATATTAACGGTAATTTTAAAAAATTGTCACTTTAATTAAAGTTTTACTGACTAATTTTTATTGGTCACTAAAAGCTTTAACTAAAAATAATATGCAGGCAATTATCTTATTGCCACTAAATAATAGTCGCTAATGATGCTTTTTGTTGTAGTGTAATATCAACGGACTTGTAGGTAAAGGCAGTAAAGCATCCCGGCATAACCACGTAACTATCAACCTAACCACACACAGGTTGACTTAGTCACAAACAAGGCAACTTATAATCATGTTTTATGTACTAACTTGACAATTAACACGTTACACAATGCATCACGCAACACACTTTAAAACAAATATGTTCATATCAGATAACAACTTTCTTTCTCTTATTTCTTTGACTCCGGTCATTATAAATAAGGTCTTATATCAAAGGTTTGAGTATGCTATTTCTAATATTCTTATCGTTATGTTGGAATTTTTAGTGATTTTGGTGTTAAAGTACTGGGTTTTGGACTTTCTTTCTATGTGAAGAATAAATTCAAATTGTGTTAGTCCATCATGTCTCACTTAATCAAGTGGAGGGGGAGTTACATTGGGATAGAGAGTGATTCAATTTAAGAAAACAACAAAATACATAGAGAAGAGAGAAAGTTACAAGTCGCATATCCATCGGGTAGTGTTTGTTAAATTGCAATTGGAGATTCGTTTATCGTTGGATCAGGTTGATTTTTGGACAACAAGTTCACACAATGTAGTGTTCCATATTCAACGGTTAGATCATCAAAAGAAAGTCTAGAGTTGGGAAAAGGCATCTCACAGTAACAACTTTGTTTTGAGAATTTTCATTTTCGTATTTCTCAATTCTAAGCAATTGTGTGCAGTTTTACTTTGATTTATTGTAAGCACTATTTGGTGCATTCTTTTGGAGACTCTCTTGTACCATTTGTTGATCATAGTAGAGTTTTTTTTTTTTATTTAGTCTGAATGACTCGTGATTCTTACCCTTATATTGAATAATTTTTACACGTTAAAAATATTTGTGTCTCTTGTGCGTTCGGAATATCTATTTTGTTAGTACTCCTTGCAAATTCTTTCCCACATCATAGTGGTATCAAAGCTCTTTGGTTAAGGAGTTGTTTGGTTTGCTTGAATGATGAGGGCACATACGAAGATGATATCTTTGAATAGAGCAAATTATCACCTATGACAGGACAAGATGAAAGACTTGTTATTTGTGAAGAATTTACATCTTCCTATCTTTGCTTCTAATAAATCAGAATCCATGTTTGATGAGGAATGAGATTTTGAGCATCAAAAGATGTGTGGATTTATCAGACAATTTGTTAATGATAATGTCTAGAATTTTATTACTAACGAGACACATGTGAGAAACCTATTGGATAAGCTCAAGTCCTTGTATGCTTCTAAATCAGAGACTAATAAGTTATAGTTGCTGAAGAATTTTGTGGAATTGAAGTAGAAAGAGGAGACTCCCATTGCAGATCACTAAGTGAATTTCAAGGGCGTTTTGATCAATTATCTAGAGTGGGTATAAAATTCAACGAAGATTTATTGGGATTGTTCTAATTAAATTCTCTACCTGATTCATGGGAGACATTCCAGGTTTCCATGATTAGTGTTGCTCCTAATGGTGATGCTTCTTTGCAAATGGAAAATAGTAGTGCACTTAATGAGGAGACGAGAAAAAAGACACAGGTATTTCATCTCATTTAGAGGTGTTTGTTACTGAAATAGAGGGAGACACTAAAAGAGAGAACAAAAGGGTGGTAGAGACCAAAGCAAGAGCAAGTCCATATCTCGGCACAAGAATGTGGAGTTTCACTTTTGTCACAAAATAAGACATATATAGAGGAATTGTTTTATGTGGAAGAAGAAGAATAAAGACAAGAAAGGTGAGCAGAGAGAGATCATGATGATAGTGACCATATTACTACTGCTACTAGTGATGATCTTGTTGTTCTCCGTGATCTTGATGCAATTAATCTTGTATCCAATGAGAGCATATGGATAATAGATAGTAGTGCTACACTACATGTTACAGCCAAGAAGGAGTTCTTCACATCTTATACTCCTAGTGATTTTGGAATCTTAAAGATAGGTAATAATAGCATGTCCAAGGTGATTGGTATTGATGATGTTTGCTTGCAAACCAACATAGGGCATGTAGTTGTTGCTTAGAGGAGTTAAGCATGCTCTAGATGTTCGTTTAAATTTGATTTCTGCGCAAGTACTTGATGATGGTGGTTATGATAATCATCTTGATTCTAGAAAGTGGAAACTCACCAAAGGTAACTTGATCATGGCCAAAGGGGAGAGATATTCTAAACTTTACTTGACAAAAGCTTTGGTTGCTAAAGACAATGTGAATGTTTTGTATATGGAGGCCTCTTTGTGACACTGAAGGCTTAGTCATATCAGTGAGAAAGAGCTAAATTATTTAGCCAAAAGGATGTGCTTTAAGGATTGAAGAATGTAAAGTTGAAGAAATATTTTCATTGCATGGTTGGTAAACAGACTAAAGTATTCTTCAATAAGCATCCTCCTTCTAGGAAATTTGAGTTGCTTGAATTGGTGCATTTAGATGTTTGTGACCCTTTGAAAGTAAAATATTTTGATGGTGCACTTTATTTTGTTACTTTTATTAACGATTATTTTCAAAAACTATGGGTCTATGCTTTGAAGACAAAAGACCAAGTGTTGCAAAAGTTCAAAGAGTTTCATGCCTTGGTTAAGAGCCAGTCAGGTAAAAAGTTAAAATGCATTCGTACTGACAATGGTGGTGAGTATTGTGGACCATTTCATGTCTATTGTAGGCAACATGGTATTGCACATGAGAAAACTCCTCCTAAAACTCCTCAGCTGAATGGTTTAGCGGAGAGGATGAATAGGACATTGATTGAGAAAGTTAAATGTATGCTCTTATAGGTTAAGTTACCCAAGCATTTTTTGGGTGAAGCATTGTACACATTGGTGCATGTTATCAATCCCAATCATGTTGTTGCTTTGAATACTGAGGTACCTAATAAAATTTGGTTTCACAAGAATGTAAAATATGATCATTTGAGAGTTTTTAGTTGCAAGGCATTTGTGAATATTCTAAAGGATGAGAGATCCAAGTTGGATGCAAAGACAAGACAATGTATCTTCATTGGTTATGGTGAGGATGAATTTGGTTACAAATTCTATGATCTTGTTGAGAA